ACCGGGACAACTTTCATGCTATAAACAAATCATGCAGCAGGATAGCTCCAGGAGGACTCAGGGCTAAGACCTCTCTGAGGTGACATTTGAACCAATCCTCCCCACAGACACGGAGAATCAACTGTGACAGAGCTCGCCACACAAGGATAGTCCAGGACAAAGAAAAAGCACGTGCAAAGGCCCTAGGGTATGAACGGACGTTGAGTGTTCCAGAGGTAGCGAGGGGAGGGGAAAGCGGCAGGACCACAGCTGGGACTCACATATTCTAATTACACTGCCATAGAGTGGACAGCTGTGAGCAGGGGTGACGTGATCTGATTTCATTTAAATATTAAGTCATGGCGAAAGTCGTGATGTATCTTTCTATTTTTTTTTTTAAGGGATTTTTGCTATATGGCACTTACACTTGCTGGAGAGACAGAAAGCTAGAATCACCCCTGGGGAAATGGCCATGCCACAATCCTTTCTCCTCCATTCTCTTCTCAGGATTTTGGGCATGAATGTATATGCACCCAGTGTGAGATTTAAGATGCCAGGTCTGGGACTCGAACCACAGTTGAATATGTGGGAGTCCAGCAAGGTAACTATTACACCATCTGCTGGTCCCTCTATGTTTTTCTATGTAAAAATGCATCATGCCTGTCCTGATGACCCAGTGGAATCCCTCTGGGTGCTAAGTGAAGAAGGCAGGCAGCCCTGATGGTCCAGTTGAGAGATGTACCAGGGAGGCAGAAAGCAAAGTGGCCAGATTAGAGATACACCTCCACTGGGGGGAGCCCACAGGATGTGTGGGGAGTAGCTGGTGGGAGACAGGAGGCTGTGCTTGTTCAGGGCTCAGCCTCATGGAGCGTAATGTAGCAAAGTGAACAGCCGTGCTGGAAGCCACATGGCCCACTGTGGGCTTACGTCCCTGGGTTGGCTTGAAAATATGCCAGGTGCATGCACGGGGGCCCGAGATCCTAAGCCGAAGGGCTGGGGTAAGGGGATCAAGATGTGATAGGACCTCATTGAGGATCTTTCTCCTTCCCTCTCTTTCACTCTCTCTTGCACGCACATGTACCTTATGTCATTAAAGGAAAAAATCTTTTTTAAAAAGTGTGCTTGTTCAGGTGGGTGATATTAAGGCATGTTTATACAAGAGGGATAAACTAATGATTTTCTGGGATCACATGCCAAGTGCAGTCTAAAACTGTAATGTACAGTTTACTGGGGCCGAGGGGCAAATGATTTCCTAGCATTTAGCTAGATCAAGAAAATGTATTCACCAAAGGTTTATATTTATGCACACCTGGTTTTGCCCGCTAGCGCTAACCTGCAAGGTGAGGACAGCGTTGTGGTATCTGTACAAGGCTGAGGGCTAGATGAACTGAGCACCCTCCAGACACTTTGAAATTCACCTTGAGCCTCTTTGCACAGCAGAGCACGGGGCAAGGGGTGCTCTGGTATTTTGGCTGTGGCTCATGGATACAGTACCCAGGTTCATGTGTGTGCACACAGCTTAGTGGACAGAAGCGCTGGATTATGAGTGCCGGGAGAGAGACTAGCAGGTGATTTCTGCAGCGTATTTTCCAGAGCTAAAGCATTTTTGTTCTAAACAGCTAAGCAAAGGGGCATGGTCTTCTATTCACAGCCCTTTTCCACATCAGTGAGGTTACTGATGGCATTAGAACAGCTGGCTGACCTGAGGATGCCTCGATCTCTCTGTGGAAACCTGTGGTGTCTGCTAACACTTCCTTTGGCTGATTAATTTTACCTTTTAAATCAGCTCTCCTCCAGCTTCCTAGGAACTGCAGGCAGGACTGAACGCAAATCCTTTAGCCTGCTGATCCACCCACTTGCTCTACTGAATTCTGCTCAAAACCACAGCTGAGTGAACCAGCAGTTAGCATAATGGCTATGTCGCTGGACTCCCATGTAGTCGAACGCAGTTCGCGTCCTGGACCTGGTGGCTTAAAACTCACGCCAGGCGTGTGTGCATGCATGCCCAAGATCCCGAGAGGAGAATGGAGGAGAAGGGATTGTGGCGTGACCATCCCCCTGGGGGGTGATTTCTTGCTTTCTGTTTTTTTGTCTCTCTCTGTCTGGCGAAGGCATGTGCCCTATAGTGGAAAAAAAAAAAACAAAAAACAACCACAGCTGAAATAGATGTTACATATTGCTGCTTCCCAAAACACACATGGCTATGTCAGATTTAACAAGCCTTAGAAATGGGTGCCTCTCCCCAATATTAAGAAATAGAGTTGGGGGGGGTTTGCAGAGCCCATAAAGAAGAAATAGAGCTGACAATGCCCTGTAACATCCCTATGAAAGTTCTACAAAGATCTTGAAGAGCGAAAGGTTAATAACTTTTTTAAAGGAAGTGATATCTCTTTTTTGCAGAAAGAGGTTAAAATACCAATGATCGCCTATCCATCTAAGGAAATCAGATAATATAGGGAGTCCCTGTAGGGTGTTAGGAAGGATACTGACAGACTTGCTTTTGAGAAGGATGCCTTTGGCTATCTTGAGAAAGGCAAGCCTGTGAGGAGTCCTACAAGGGCCCAGGCAAGGGTCCCCTTAGCTAAAGCAGTAGCAAGAGAAGGGAGAAGGAGAGGATTGAAGGTATTTCAGAGAGAGAAGCCTATAGCGTCTATCTGAACCACAAAGGTGTTATCTGAGGGGGATGATGGAATCTCAGGAGCTCCCAAGTTACTAGTCAGCAATGGGGTCACCCCACAAGGGCCTCTCTGACCCATTTGGCAGCCGGGGCTGTTAGGACAGAAGCCCTCCGCCCAGTCAGCCTGCCTTGGAGTCTGCCAGGACTGCACCTCCATAGACCCTGGGCACTGGGCCTTCCCACCATACTGGGGCTGAGGCCTTTGGGAACTACTTGCGTCTTACCTGAGAGTTTGCCTGTGCCGTTATATCCCTTAGGTTTATTTCTTTTTTTTCAGGTCCAAGGTATTAGGCATGACTTTTCTTTTTAAATTGATGTTGAATTTCACAGGCAATGTGAAATGAATCCATGACTACACTGTAGCAATGTAATAAATTAAGGAGCTCATTTTAAAAAATAATTGTTTTATTTAACTTTATTTACTTATTTTTATTTTATTTGACCAGAGAGGGGCAGAGTGAGGGACAGAGAGAGAGAGAGAAAGGGAGAAAGCAAGCCACCGGGTCCAGGAATCAAACCATGGTCAGCGATGTGGGAGTCCAGCACCCTTAACCACCATGCCACCTATTGGCCCCAAGGAGCTCATTTTAGATTTGACCAATAAGGGTAACTCCTTGGGCTGTGTCATAGCTGGCTCTGCTCTTTCTGTTTAAACCACAGGAAGAGGTCAGGCTGCTTCACTGCCTTAGATTGGAGTGTAATGATTAATTTCATCGGTCAATTTGACTAGGCTCTAGTGTCTAGTTAGTCAATTGGTCAAACACCAGTGTAGATGTTGCTGGGGAGGTATTTTTAAGATGTGACTAACATTTAATCAGTAGACTTTTAGTTAGGCAGGTTGCCCTCCATAATGTGGGTGACCTCTTCCAATCCATTGAAGGCCTTAAGAGGAAAGACTGAAGTTTCCTAATAGGGAAGGAATTTCCTCACAACAGCAACAAAGAAATCCTGCAGGAGTTTCCATTCGGCTGTCCTGCAGAATTAGGACTTAAGGCTGCAGCCTTGGTCCAGCTTCTGATGTAGTCGGCAGCATACTGAGCTGCAGAGCTGGAAGCCACAAGCTGACCACAGCTAGAGTCCTCAGACTGCCTGGCCTGCAAACATGCCAGGTGTGAATGTGCATGCCCAGGACCATGGTGGGTTGGAGGGTTGGAGGGCTGGAGGCAGGGGATTGTGGTGTGACCAAGCCCTGTGGAAGGCAATCCTCTTTCTTTTGCTCTCTCTTTCATACAATATGCTCTATTATGAATTAAAAACAAAACAACATTGGGAATAGCAGATGGTGTAATGGTTATGTCACTGGATTCCTATATAGTCAACTGCAGTTTGAGTTCTGGACCTGGTGGCTTAAAACTCAGGCTAGGCATGTGTGCGTGCATGCCCAAATTCCGAAGAGGAGAATGGAGAAGGGGTTGTGGCTTGGCTATCCCTGTTGGGGAGTGATTTCTTGCTTTCTGTCTCTTTATCTCTCTGTCTCGTCAGCAAGCACATGTGCCTTATAACAAAAATTTCTTTTAAAACAAAACAAACAAATACAAAAACAGAAACAAAAAACTACAACTTCAACCTTCACTGGGTCTCCAGCCTGCTTGTCGTTTTACACTTGCAGCCTCCACAAACTTGTAAACCAATTCCTTAAAACATTTCTCTCCCGTATGGGCATGTATATACACATCCTATTGGTTTTGTTTCTCTGAATAATGTAGGATGACTTTGACAGGTGGAAACATCAGGTTATCACCTCTTAGCTTCAAACCAGAGACTTGTATGAAGAATGACTCACTGAGCAGCACCCTGGCTGCAGTTCAGCGTTGGGGTCCTGACCTTCCTCCTCTGTCTCCCTGGACACTCATGCCCAGGAGTCTGCAGGCTCACTCCCTCGCTTCTTCCAAGTCTGCTCAGCATGCCCATCACACCCCGCACACCCTCTGCAGTGCACCCTGGCCTTCTCCACCTCCTTCGCTGCTGTGCTTTTCTCCTTAGCACTCATCCTCAGGCTGATGGATGACACATCAGCCTGTTAATTCTCACCCCAGCTCCCGTTCACTGCAGGAAGGGTCAACTCCATGAGGCTGTAGACTCTGCTTTAAGTGTTGATGACTCTCCGATGCCTAGAACAGGCCTTGCACACAGCAGGTGCTCAATAACTACTCGGTGTGGAACGATGAACAGCTGACATATTCAGGAATATGGGGCAGAAAGAGACCCATGGTTAGGTGGAGGCTCCTCCCTGACCTTGCTTCCCTGTTGATCCTCGTGCTGGCTAATGCGTGGCTTCCTCCCTTGGGGAGCCAGGGCCCTCAAGTATTTAGCATCCTAATTATAACTCTTTAAAAGCACATACCAAAGGGGGGGAGCCACTCTCCTTCTGAGGAGCAGATGTCCCTGTCCTGGGTCTTCCTGCCATAGGTCGCAGAGTAGATGTTAAGCAACTTGGATTCGTGGCAGTGCAGCTTCAGTTCCTGGTCCTCACACGCCGTTTTATTTTTTAATTCATCTGAAGCAGAAATGAAAACCAATAGCACCATCAGTTTCCTTGGAGAGGTATCACTCAGCACCACCCAATCCGTGACTGTGGATCCCCCCCTGGGGTGACACCCAGAGAAGGGGACAGTCAGGGTGGCCTGCCTGCCGTGGGGCCTCTGGCCGTGGAAAACCGAGCCCTCTGCAGGAAGAGGATGGGAAGTAACCCGTGGACAAGCATGGATCCCAGCAGTTCTATGAGGGCATGCACGGAAGAGAGATGCCTGAATGAGGGACGTGGGCAGCAGCGTGGGTCCTGGAAGGGGCTGACCATAAAGGAAGCTTCTTCTCTCCCCACGTGAGGTCACATGTTCCTTTAAAAACTGTCTTTCTTTCACAGTTTATTTGTCACTTTGTTTTATGAAAAAGAGAGAGAGAGAGGAAGACAGAGAGAGAGAGGAAAGGGCACACCCACTGGGTCCTCATACCATGATCCACCCCTAGCCACAGCTGGCCCTGGATCATCAGCATATGCGTACCCAGTTTGTTCCGGGAAGCCTCTGGACGCAAAGCCAGAACCTTCCTACGTGGGTCAGTCACGCAGAGCAAACTGCCACTGCACCACCACTTGCCCCAACAATTCCTTGATTGAAAGGCACTTTTGGGCCAGCAGGTGGCATGGTGGTTAAAGTGTTGGACTCCTACATAGCAAACAATGGTTCAAATCCCAGATCCAGTGACCTGAAAATCACTCTGGGGGCAGCTGGCAGGTGGCGTGGTGGTTAAGGGCACTGGACTGTGGTTTGAGTCCTGGACCTGGCAGCTTGCTTTCTCACTTTCTTTATCTCTCTCACTCTCTGGTCAAACTAAAATAAATAAAGTTAAATAAAATAATTCTTTTAAAAAAAATGTAAAAAAAGAGAAAGAACATCACACTGGGTATGTGTACATGTGCGCCCAAAACCTGAGAGGAGAATGGAGGCAAAGGGGTTACAGTGTAGCCATACCCGCAGGGGGTGACTTCTCACTTTCCTTCTCACTGTCTTTCTCTGGTGAGTGCATGCGCACTACAAAAAAAATTTAAAATAATATAATAATAATGATAATAAAATTAAATAACTAATTCTCTTTTAAAAATCAAATTATTATTATTATATATTTTTATTAGTTGAGTGGTTCGGAGGAAACTAAAAAAAACAAAACAAAACTGTTTTCTTCAGCAGTGCATTTATAAAGGCAATTCTGTATGATATTGCAAAGAAAGTTAGTATTGTGGTAAGCAAAGTAAACAAACAAACTTGTCCCTAATTTCTTTGGGAACGAAGTCCAGCCTGGTGCAGAACATCCTAACCTAGATTGCCCCAGCAGTCTAAGGGTCAGTTGTCCCTCTACACCAGATCTGGGAAAGCTTGTCATATTCCTCTAAAGAGGCCTTCTTTATAGTCACACTGCCATGTTTTTGCACCTCGCCTAGCAAAGGAAATAATTTGCTTTTATATTATGTCTGGGAACTTAGCAATGGCATTAACAGGGAGGTTGAACTAAGCTCTCCCAGAGGTTTAGTGAACCTATCAGGGAGACACCAGTCTTTACTAAAGCTCTTTTACTTTCCTCCTTGAGGTTTTTGCCATAGGGCATGTGCACTCGCTGGAGACAGAGAGAGACAGAGAGAGACAGAGAGAGAGAGAATGTGGGAAAGCAAGCCACCAGGATCCAGGGCTTGAATTGTGATAAGCCATGTGGGAGTCCAGTGCCTTAACCACCACACCACCTGCTGACCCCAATAATTCTATTTTAAAAAGTAATTAAGAAGGGCTAGCAGGTGGGATGGTGATTAAGGTGCTGGACTCCCACATGGCAGACCCTGGTTGGAATCCAGACCTGGTGACTTGATTTCTCACTTTTTCTCTCCCTCTTTGTCTCTCTAGTTAAATTAAAAAGTAATGATAATAAACAGAATGAAATAATTCTTTTTAAAAAGGCAATTAAGAGCTAATACTTCAGATGCAAAAGACTACACATCATATGATTCTATTTATAAGAAATTTCCAGAGGAGGCAAACCTATAGGGGCAGATGTAGATTAGTGGTGGCCTGAGACTGGGGGGTGGGATCAAGGAGCAACTGTGAATGGATGCAGGAAACTTTCTGAGGTGATGGGACTGCTCTGCAGCCGGACTGTGGTCATGAGGCACAGCTCAGTAAACTCACTAAAAATCATGAACATACACACTTAGAATGACTGAATTTTATGCTCTGTAAGTTTTACCTCGATACAGAGAGAGGACTGGGTGGTGGTGCAGCAGGGACACAACTGCACGCCCATGAAGACATCCTGGGTTTGCATTCTGAGACCTCACTATGTACATGAGGCACATGTGCATGTCCCTGAGACTGGGGGTGGAGTGCTGTGTGAAAACCCTACTGGGGATGCTTGTCTCTGTTTCTCTCTCCCTCATGGAAGAAATGAACTTCTGTAAAAATTCAAAATAAAGGTATAAATATAGTAAGAATAGCTAATACTCATCAAGCATGTTCTCTTAATGAGACCCTGGTCTCAGAGCTTCAAATATATGAATGCATTTAGTACTCAAAGTAGCCCCTCTGAGGGCCAGCTCTGTGGCCTGGTGGTTAAACCATGATCCCACATGGTTGACTACGTGGTTTGAGACCTGGACCCAGCAGCTTGATAAACGCCTTGGGTATATATGCATGTGTGCCCCAAATCCCAAAGAGAGATTTAAACCCAAAAGTTGGCCAGGTGGGATCCAGCAGCCTTAACCATCATGCCACTGGCTGGTCCCGATGAATAGGTCTTGTTATTTGTCTTGGGTTTGCTCTGAGGCATGCATACACTCACGAGACAGAGAGAGACAGAGAGAGAGAGAATGTGGGAAAGCAAGCCACCAGGATCCAGGGCTTGAATTGTGATAAGCCATGTGGGAGTCCAGTGCCTTAACCACCACACCACCTGCTGACCCCAATAATTCTATTTTAAAAAGTAATTAAGAAGGGCTAGCAGGTGGGATGGTGATTAAGGTGCTGGACTCCCACATGGCAGACCCTGGTTGGAATCCAGACCTGGTGACTTGATTTCTCACTTTTTCTCTCCCTCTTTGTCTCTCTAGTTAAATTAAAAAGTAATGATAATAAACAGAATGAAATAATTCTTTTTAAAAAGGCAATTAAGAGCTAATACTTCAGATGCAAAAGACTACACATCATATGATTCTATTTATAAGAAATTTCCAGAGGAGGCAAACCTATAGGGGCAGATGTAGATTAGTGGTGGCCTGAGACTGGGGGGTGGGATCAAGGAGCAACTGTGAATGGATGCAGGAAACTTTCTGAGGTGATGGGACTGCTCTGCAGCCGGACTGTGGTCATGAGGCACAGCTCAGTAAACTCACTAAAAATCATGAACATACACACTTAGAATGACTGAATTTTATGCTCTGTAAGTTTTACCTCGATACAGAGAGAGGACTGGGTGGTGGTGCAGCAGGGACACAACTGCACGCCCATGAAGACATCCTGGGTTTGCATTCTGAGACCTCACTATGTACATGAGGCACATGTGCATGTCCCTGAGACTGGGGGTGGAGTGCTGTGTGAAAACCCTACTGGGGATGCTTGTCTCTGTTTCTCTCTCCCTCATGGAAGAAATGAACTTCTGTAAAAATTCAAAATAAAGGTATAAATATAGTAAGAATAGCTAATACTCATCAAGCATGTTCTCTTAATGAGACCCTGGTCTCAGAGCTTCAAATATATGAATGCATTTAGTACTCAAAGTAGCCCCTCTGAGGGCCAGCTCTGTGGCCTGGTGGTTAAACCATGATCCCACATGGTTGACTACGTGGTTTGAGACCTGGACCCAGCAGCTTGATAAACGCCTTGGGTATATATGCATGTGTGCCCCAAATCCCAAAGAGACGGAGAAATGAAGGAGAAGGGATCGCAGTGTGACCATTCCTCATGCGGGGATGCTTTCTCTCTCTGTCTCTTTGGTAAGTACACACATCCTCTAGCAAAAATTAAAAACAAAATAAAACAACAGGCAAATGAACTACATCTTCACATCCCTTGCATGTTGTATGTTGGGTTTTTAGAATTATTCATAGGGGTAGCTGAGCTACTCTGGGTAGCCACTTTTGCCTTCTCATGTGTTAAATAATCTTCAGTTACTTCTTAATCTTGCAGAATAAAAGCAATGGGAAGCATAAAGTGGGCCATGGTCATTAACTGACACATGGTTCTCCACCTCCTTCCCCACATTTTGTTAAGAAAAATCATGAAAAATGCCAACAGCATTCTATTGCTGATATGTTATTTCCTGGTTTTTTTTTTTTTTTTTTCTTTCTTTCAAAAAGCAGTCACATAGCAGACAGGAGCATCATTGAGCCAGACACAGCAAACAGGAGCTAAAGGACAAGACCTGCTTGGTTGTCACTCGTCACGAGCTGGCCTGGGGTGGGAGAGAAGACTGCTCAGAGGGACAAAGGACAGCCTTCTCGCCCTGCCTTTCACTTCTCTCACCCACTCATGCTTCCCTTCCTTTCTCTTTCCTGGGTCAGAAGTGCAAGCTAATCCCAGGCCCCTGATACACCTTAAGCCAAAGTTTTCCAAATTGTGATTTGAGGCTAATTAATGAGTCTTGAAATCATTAGTTTAGTGAGTTATGATCAGCAATTTTATTTTTAGAGATTTTTGCTGTACGGTGCATGCACTCGCTGGAGAGACAAAGAGACAGAAAGCAAGAAGTCAGCCCTCTGTCCTGGGTGGGGGAAGCGCAGGGACGGCCATGCCACAATCCCTTCTCCTCCATTTTTCTTTCAGGATCTTGGGCAAGCAAGCACACATGCCCAGCATGAGTTTCAAGCCACCAGGTCTGGGACTTGAACTATGATCGGCCATGTTGGAGTCCAGCGACATAATCATTACACTAGCTGCTGGTCCTGTGACCAGGAATTCTAAAATACAAAAAGTGGGGTAGTTTAGAAAACAGTAAAGGGCATCATACAAAGAAAGGATA